TCATGATATTGAGATAACTTTATAGAAGACAAATCCTCACGAATAAAAATGACTACAAAGACAAAACTAAGCAAATACAATCACTGGGCTGCATACATGTGAGCTAGAATATCTTTGCTGCCTTCTAGGTGTTTAGCAACAGCCATAGCTAATAAGGTTTTCCCCGAACCCTGACAAACAGAGATACCAGAATAAGATGGAGTCTAAAAGCTTTGTACATCTTCCAGCACAATCCTATGGTGATGCTGGGGAGTAGTAGAAGTAGAGATATTAGCATGCTATTGTTTTCCTCTTTAATTTTGTCATTTCTAACCAGCAACTATCAACCATAACATACTAAGGAGCACGCATAGAGTAGTTTACTACAAAAAAGCAATTCTAATAAAGTATGCCAGACTGTTCACAAAGTATACTGATGCATTCATCTCGCAGCCGCAATTCATATTTCTATTTCTCTTTTTTTTTTTGGGCCGGGTTCCATTACTCTTATTTCTCATTTGAAAATTAGAAACCACAAAATTTTCAGGAGCCAAATAAATAAATATAAATAACCAACCTGAATTGTGTACAAATCTGTGGCACAAAAATACCCATAACACATGCTACGGAAGAAGAGAAAAACTGAGAGGACTCACATTCATGGCTTCAGCAACCTATCAATTGGTGTCCAAGTGACAGAGTTACATAAAATCCAGGAATCAGACTCGTCCTTCGTCATATAAAGTGTTTAGGGAAGAAAACGAGAGGGCGACAGTTTGGAAATGATCCTCATTTGTTCTTAATAAAACCACATGTCAAAAGAACATTGACTAATCCATGGGCTCATTGTTGATTATTATTAAGGGTTCTAGACTTGGGACATGCACTATATCAAACTGATGTTCTTAGTGAGTCAAGCAAGCCTGGGTAAACTCTCAACAAACAGCTGAAGAATGAAGGTGCATGTTCTGATCAATAAAGGTACAGTTCCAAAACCAATGAAAAAATAATAATAATAATATTACTCAACAGAAGTCTGCATTTCCATTTACCTAAAAGAACAAAGAAGTTACATTCTCCGAAAAAGGAAGAGAAGGAATTTTTTTCCTTTTTGAGAGCACAGAAGGGTGGAAAATAATATGACATAAAATCATAAATATACTACTAAGTCACACAAGAAGTATTCTGATAGCAAACAGAAGTAAGCTGGCTTTCTATAATGGTATTCCGATAGCAAAGAAGTATTCCAATAGCAAAACCATTAGTTTGGGTTCAAACAAAAGAAAAGATGAAGTGGCATTTCTCAACATTATAAAAAGAAAAGTAGGTGGATCTAGATCCTATTCCACTTTGACACTGATCAAGTGTGAGGAACTCACAGGAGGTCCATGCACAAGAACATGGCCAGGGAGAGGAAGATCCAGGTTACTAAATAACTTTCCAGAACTTGGAGATAATAGCACTGTCAACCCTGGAAGAAAAGGTGAACTGGTCAGATATTACAAAACCATATAAACAATATTCAAGAACTCGCGTCAGGCTCGAGACTCAGGCCCTGCCCGAGCCAAGGAACTCCAGCAAGTCCAAGTGGACTCACTTGAGTAGTGTATGCAGCCAAAAAACTAAAATAGATAAATAAATTGCTAAAAACAAAATAAAATATTAAATATCATAGTAAACTAAAAAAAATACTAAAACCCAAATAAGATGGAAAAAAATACGAAACATGGATTTTTAAAAAAAATATTTATAACTGGAGACAATTACAATTGCATAAAATATATCTGCATTACATTACTAATTACATGAAATATTTCTATATTGATTCTACAATTAACAAACATTTTATGAATTTTTATTTTTTTGATAACCCTAAGTTTAACCTGGCACTCTGCTCGACAAGGAGCCGAGTACGAGCAACTCGGGCATGTCCAAGTCGACTCAGCTGAATCCCTGGACACTGCATACATTTTTGTTGGTTATGCAAAATCTTATAACTAATCGATAATAATATTTCAACAAGGGAGTATACAGAGGAACAAATACATTCCAACAATTCGCATTCATATACAAGAGAAAGAAAAGAGGCCTACGGTTAATAATATCGGTCAAAGCCACTGCCATCCAGCTCAAAGATGAAACACTTGAACTAAAGCTTCGACCAAAACACTTCTCATTAGGACAATCAAAACAAACAGGACCACCAAAATCGAGCTTCTCAAACTGCAACTCTAAGCCACCATGTTTTTCACTACTTGAATTTACAGTTGAGAAGGCAAGCTCATAAGATTCATACTGTTCACCAAGATCAGACTCGTCAGACGTTACAGTTAACAAAAACAGCAGTTCTAAAGGAGACTTATCAGACATATTTATCGTTCCTTTAGATCCAGTTTTACAGCTTCCAAAGGTCAAACCCATATCCACCTCAAAGTGCAAAATTGTTTCCCTTCCCAGAACCAAAGACTTCACATCATCTACACCATTCAGTGTTGCCATTATATTAAGTTGCCCCATTGTCCAAATCTGGACGAGCCTTTCTTTTTGTTTTACAGCACAGGTTTCACAGTCATGCTCATTCTCCCCATGTCCATGACACCCGGAAGGAAGTGCCTCGATGAACTCTTCATGAGTTGACCAATCCATAACTTCCTCATTGAATATTGAATCAATATTTTGGTGCATGCTGTTAGTCTTGAGAGAGTTGCGAAACTCAAAGAGATTAGCATTATCTTCAAGCAATTTATCTGTCTCAAGCTTAAAATGACAAGGAGAAAGGATTAAAGAAGCATCTTTTTTAACATGGGAGCTGCATCTCCATACATGAACCCCTGCACGTGTGCGCAAAATCACATATAAGTCCGAGCGTATTAAGTAGAAAATAAAATTATAGAGAAATATGTATAATCATAAGACGAATGAAATTGCTATTGTACATGTAATATAAGATGTGGCTTGGTCATTACCTTGTTAGTAATCAATACGTTCTTTTCGGAGCAGGAAACTAAGAGATAAGAAAATGAAAATAAACATTTGACAAAGCATCAACATGCTAGACTGGGGAATCAAGTATTCATCACCACTGGTTCAATGGACTCCAATACAAAAGCGTTTATAATCTTTCTATTGCTAGATCACATAAGCAAATGTTCACCCCAGCCACAAACACAAGCTTTAAACTCAAGGCAAGATAAGCAGAGTTTTTTGTGCCAATAATCGACATTTCATCAGAAACAAAATGCAAAACTGACCAAAGGGTTTGTGCATATCACAAACTCTAATCACCTAGTTACTAATGAAAAAATATAAAGAAGAATATCACCTGAGAAGCAATTCTAGGCAGCTAACCATCCGATAGAATCCAAATAAAAATAGAGATGTATAAAGGGTAAGCGAACAAGATGTTGTAAGCATTTAGGAATGATATATCACCATTAAATATCCTCTCCTATTGACAACAACCATTTTGGATACCGATTAGAAAAAAAGAAACAACGAAAAAAGGTAAGGAAACTAGGACAGTGAGACACCCATGAACAAGTGTCCTAGTGTTAAATGTCCCATTTACATCGAGATATTCATTCTCAATGAAGCAGAAAATATTTTTACGTAGTGGGAACTGAACTGAGATCCAGGACACAATTATATAAAAGAAAAGGTTTAAAGATAACTCACAGGTGCCACGAGTCAAGAAAATCTTTGCGACAATAACATACTTACATGTGTGCAAGTCTGCTTTTATATAAAGACGGAGAGACCGTTGAAGCATGACATGCCCTCTTGCCACTGAATCTGAAAGAGAAATGCAAACAGTTGCGTGCCTAGGAACCATTGTGCCACTTCTCAACCACCCATTATTCTTCTCTGCAGTAGTCAAATTGGCCTTCTTTCTTGAGGCGCCCCATTTCTGATTCTGCAGGCTGCCATTCCCAGATGCTCTAGATGATATGCTAACTAGTTGACCATTATCAAACATAAAGTGCCTCGCAGTTTCGGGATGTAAAAAAACAACAGAAGTGAGAACCACACCAAGCTTTACACCCTCTTGTTTGTATGTGTGAACATAGTTCCTGTTTAGCTCTTGAACACGTAAGAGTGCCTTAGTCGTGATATGCTCTTTCACATACCCAACACCTTGTTGTGCGCCTCCAACATTCTTTCTTCTCTTCGGGGCAACTGCAACTTCAGTTTCTGGCACAAGTTGCACTAGAAAAAGCCCCAAAACGTAACATTAAGCAACGTAAAATGTATCAATCCCTCTATGATGTATACTACGCGCATAAAACCAGACCAAAGACATTCTAGAAAAAACAAGTCCAAAGACCTCAAGATGAATTTGCATTCCTTCTAAGGAAAGTGAAGAATAATCCAATTGGGTATCACCATTGACCATTCTTTGATATGAATGGAGAAGGGAGAGTGGGATGCATCAGAACAGGACATGACCTCAAATGTGGGTCCCACTAATCATCTCCAACAGTACTGAGGACTATTGTTTTACACAATATAATACTTCCCCTTTCTGATAACTGTATTTATATGATAGGTTTAATTGTTTTATAAAGCAACTGCAGCATTATTAATTCCCCACCCCCCAAAAAAAAAAAGGAACAGTTTTGTGCATAAGCAGAGCAGCCCTTGCCAACTATTAGCTTAGCGGAAAAGAAAAGCGCTTGCATCGTGAATATTCTCCCATCAGGAAAGGAACAACTAGAAACTACATTGTGTTCGTCATAAATAATCCTACATGGAGCACAAATTTTCTATAGTCTTTAGTGTAGACATGTTTGTATCAGTGTAGAACCACTTGAGACAATACAGCTGTATAAAGATTAATTTAATTGAATAAATGAGATCAAGTTAACCTTTTCTTCCAAAAAAAAAAAAAGAAAGTCAACCGTAAAAAAAATAAGTAGAATTATATGTGAATAGGATGACTATGAAACATGAAATTTTAAACTTAAACATATGCAGGCAAGAGCACAAGCACAATATACAAAAACATGCAGGAAACAAAAACAATAATCAAGAAATAGACAAGACTGCTACACATGCGCCATCATTGAAACATATTTGTCTTTTCTCTTGTCAGAGGATTTTGTATGATACAACGTGTTGTATGTTAATGCATGAGCACTAGAAAGATGCATGAGAGTCACTCTTTTCTTTTTCTAGTAGGTGACCTAAGTTTGAAACGATGTTATATGGGCACCAACATGGGTGTGTATCTAGTATGTATGTATCTATGTATGTATATATATATATATATATATATATATATATATATATA